AGTAGTCGTAGTCGTAGTCGTAGTAGTCGTAGTCGTAGTCGTAGTCGTAGTAGTAGTAGTAGTAGTAGTAGTAGTAAGTAGTAGTAGTAGGAGTAGTAGTAGTAGTAGTAGTAGTAGTAGTAGTAGTAGTAGTAAGTATCGTTTAGTAGTAGAGTAGTAGTAGTAGTAGTAGTATAGTAGTAGTGTAGTAGTAGTAGTAGTAGTAGTAGTTGTAGTAGTAGTAGTAGTAGTAGTAGCAGTAGTAGTAGTAGTAGTAGTAGTAGTAGTAGTAGTAGTAGTCGTAGTCGTAGACGTAGTCGTCGTAGTCGTCGTAGTCGTCGTGGTAGTCGGAGGTTGGGGGTTGAGTCCGACGTGAAACGGAAACCCCCCATGCCGGGAAATCGATTTCGGCGTCGGGTTCGCGTCGCGCGCGCCGCGCGTGCGCGCGCGCAGGCGAGGCGAAGCTGCGCGGGCGGGCGAGAGGAAATCTTTCTGTGGCTGGGCCGCGGCCGGACCAGATGATTCTCCTCCGGCGGCGGGTGGCCCGCGGTGTCCCGCCGGCGCCCCGCTGGTGCCCCGAAATCCTCCTGTGGCTGGGCCGCGGCCGGACCAACTGATTTTTCTCCAGCGGCCAGTGGCCCGCGGTGCCCCGCTGGTGCCACGAAATCCTCCTGTGGGCCGCGTCCTGCGGTGTCCAGTGGTGTCCGCCGTTGCTAGGGCGAAGTCAAGACAAATGAGTATCCTTAGTTTCTCCTGCTACCTACTAGGGGGGGGGGTCCCCCCCCCCGTTGACCCAGACCCCCCCAGAGACCCCCCCCGAACCCCCCCCCGAGACCCCGCCCCCCGATGCGCCCGCGACGCGGTGCGCTCGGCAAGCGAGCTCGACGATAATAGCTGTGTTCGGCGCCCACGTCGAAACCTCCCGAGTCGTCGTCCGAGTCGTTCTCAGATAGTCGTTGCCTAAGTAGTTGTTTAATTCCCTATTCATTGCTGACGTGAGATGTCAGCTGAGTAGTTTACAGGATGAAGTCGTAGACGTGGTGGAAGGAGGTTGATTAAGAGGAACTAGTGACTATGACTAGTCCAGCCAGTAGTAGTAGTCCTGTAAGTATAGCGGACAAGGCGTAGTACGAAGGCGCGCAAGTAGTTCGCTAGTAGTAGTACCCCTCGTAGTAGTAGCACAGTAGTAGTAGTAGTCGCCCCCCCCCCCTGATAGTCGTAGTCGCGCCGCGTAGTCGTCGTAGGTCGTCGTAGCTCGTCGGGTCTGCGAGTCCGGAGGGGGATTCGCTGGTGAGTAGGATGTCAGATCCCCGTCCATTCGCTGGTTTCCTTGCTAGCGGGCTTCGAATTCGCGGGCGGCTCAGGAAATCCATCAGGGCCGCCGGATTCTCCTCATGCACGGGTGGCCGGGGATTTCTGTCTCCCGCGAAAGCCTCCTGGAGGCTGGGCCGCGGAGGACCAACTGATTTTGAGGAGGAGGAGGAGGAGCCAGTGGCCCGCGGTGGAGGCTGGGAGTATCGAAAAATGTGGACGAGCGAGGGTGTCCAGGGTGGAGTCCGGTGCTTGCGCGTAGTCGTAGACGTAGTCGTCGTAGTCGTCGTAGTCGTCGTGGTAGTCGGAGGTTGGGGGTTGAGTCCGACGTGAAACGGAAACCCCCCATGCCGGGAAATCGATTTCGGCGTCGGGTTCGCGTCGCGCGCGCCGCGCGTGCGCGCGCGCAGGCGAGGCGAAGCTGCGCGGGCGGGCGAGAGGAAATCTTTCTGTGGCTGGGCCGCGGCCGGACCAGATGATTCTCCTCCGGCGGCGGGTGGCCCGCGGTGTCCCGCCGGCGCCCCGCTGGTGCCCCGAAATCCTCCTGTGGCTGGGCCGCGGCCGGACCAACTGATTTTTCTCCAGCGGCCAGTGGCCCGCGGTGCCCCGCTGGTGCCACGAAATCCTCCTGTGGGCCGCGTCCTGCGGTGTCCAGTGGTGTCCGCCGTTGCTAGGGCGAAGTCAAGACAAATGAGTATCCCTTAGTTTCTCCTGCTAGCCCTCCCCCGCCGTTTGACCCCGAGACCCCCCCCGGGAGACCCCCCCCGGCGCCCGCGACCCCCCCCGAGACCCCCCCCCCGATATGCCCGAGACCCCCCTGATCCCCCCCCCCGATTTGCCCGAGACCCACTCGAAACCTCCCGATATCCGCGAGACCTCCTCTTCGATGTCCGTGAACCCTCCTAATCCTCTTACCTTTTACTTAGCCCACTGAATCCCTCGATCCATCGCGGCCTCCCCGGAGACCCCCGTGACGTGCAGGGAGGAGGAGGAGGAGGAGGAGGAGGAGGAGGAGGAGGAGGAGGAGGACGCCGAGGAAGAGGTGGAGGAGGAGGAGGAGGAGGAGGTCAAGGAGGATGAGGAGTCCTCCAGAGCCATTTTGGCTCCATGCCATACGCGTGCCGGAGCCGCGTCCTCCACGCCCGGGACAAGCCCACCGGGCGGGCGGACAAGGCGTCCCACGGGGCGCGCAACGCGGGCGGCGCTTCGTCCACCCCTCTTCCCCCCTCGCTTGCTGCTCTACCCACTCCTCGCCCCCTCCCTACTCGCCCCCCCCCCTCCCCACTCCGTCCGCGGCCCGCGCCGCGCGCCCCGTGGTCGTCTCAGCGCCAGGGGCGAGCCGCCCAGAGGGCGTCGCAGGTTCGGGCTGACCTGCGCACCCTGTGCAGGGCGCTCCCCGAGTCGGGAGCCAAATCCCCGGGGTGGATTACCGGCCCTAGCGGCTGGGGCCCCGAGGGTTGGCTCGCCTCGGCTCTGGGCCGAGACTGCGGCCATGCCGCCGCCGGCCAGTCGCTGGCCAACACGGCGGCCGTCGCCGCCGACGCGGGCGTCTCGGCGACGCCGGGGCGAGGAGAGGGAGAGGCCGGAGGAGGAGGAGGAGGAGGAGGAGGAGGAGGAGAAGGAGGAGGAGGAGGAGGAGGAAGAGGACGAGGAGGAGGAGGAGGAGGAGGAGGAGGAGAAAAGAGAGGTGGAGGAGGGGGAAGACTGCGGAGGAGGAGAGGAGTGAGGGGTAGAACGAGTGAGGAGAGGAGTAGACCGGAGCGGGGCACGGGCAGGGGAGGCGAACACGACGCGCCGCGGCCAAGTGCTGGTCGCGGCGGCGTTCCGGGCCACCGAGGACCGGCTGCTGGACGTGGTCCGGCAGCAGGTCCACGCCCGGGCAGCCGCTGCCGGCGGCCCACAAGGCCAGACGACGACGACGACGACGACGACGACGACGACGACGACGACGACGACGATGGCGACGACGGCGACGACGGTGACGACGACGAGGCTTCTACGTCGTCAAGCGCATGTGGGACGAGACGGCCCTGTGCGTCTCGCTCACGCAGCGCGAGCTCGGCCGCTTCCACCCCCGGTTCGTGGAGGCGCGGCTGGGCGACGGCGACGATGAAGGGCGGACAAGTAGGAGGACGTAGAACGAGGAGCCGGATGGCGAGAGGAGGTGGGCGGCGAGGGGCGGGGCGAGAAGGTGGGCGACGAGTCGGCGGCCACGCGCGAACCCTGCCCCGCCACCCCACGATTTCTAAGGGAATCCCACTTCCCCTTTCAGAAATCGTGGAGCGGCGCGGTAGGGTTCACACGCGGCCGCCTAGAAGGGCGGGGGCAGCGCCCGCCAGGCCTTGAAGGAGCTGCCCGCCGCCCTGACTGGCCGCTCAAGGCCGGAGGGCCCTCGGCCCATCTCATCTCCCATCTCTCGACCCCAGCGTCGCCCTGCCCCCCCCCCGTCCACATCTTCTTCGCCCTGGCCCACCACCTCGTCCTCCGCCCCCGCCCCGCGTCGCCGATGCCCTCGCCCGCCTCGGCTTCGCCCTCCGCGCCTCCAGTGCTCGCGCGCCCCCCCCCCCGCCAGTCAGAAGCATTACACCGTGCAGTCCTTCCAGCAGCAGGCGTTCGTCCGCTGGGGCGAGGCGGACGCGGGGCGAACGAGGAGGCGCGAGGAGGCGGGCGACGAGGCGGAGGAGGTCGGAGGTGGACGGGGGCGGGCCGGAAGATGAGAGGGCGGGCGAGGCAGGGGGGAGGAGGTGGAGGGAGTGAGTAGTAGATGATCGTTGGTTCGCATTTGTTGGTTGCCACCCCCCCCCAGCCGACCCAGGCGGACTCGGACTGCTGCATGTTGTCGGTGCCAATGCGACTTCTCCCGAGCACGGCCGCTACGTCGCTGTTCAGCGGGCTCGAGGCGACGTCGCGGCACCTCACGATCGCTGCTTTCACCGAGCTGTCCAACCTCGTCGCGTTCTTCGCCATCGTGGCTTTCCCCGACGCCCTCGCTGCCAATCGTTTGTGCACCCTGTTCTATTACATGAGCATCCCTAGGGCGCTCGTGTTCGAGGGCAGGTGCGTTGAGCAGGGGCCGACCGTCCCGGCATGCCTATAAGCTCCTATAGGCTATAGGCTATAGGCTATAGGCTATTTGCATGCCTATAGCCAATAGCCTATAGCCTACACGCCCACCACGACATGTTCTTAGAACTTAGAACCCAAACATGTTCGAATAACCGAAACGATTTGTTTTAGAACATACACGCGATGTGCTAAAACAAAGCACTATTGGCCAGAAATGTTCTAAGAACATGTCGTATAAACCACGCGCTTCTTAGGATATTGTTTGGGGCATATTGGCGCGCTGGAACGCTTCGCCACTGCTTGAGGTGCGTGTGCCACCAACTGCATCTGGTCTGCGAGTCAGGTCAGTCCGCCCTCGGCCTCCTGAACGCATTCTATTGCTGTAGCAGTTTGTTTGGGCACTGGTCTTACCGCGTGAAACTTTCTCTGGGGGCCCAAGGGCTGTGCGAGAAGCTCCGCGTCCACTACAGGCCCCCCCCCCCGCACGCCCGCGTCTTCCGCGACGTGGTGATTCGGTCCACCATCGCGCGCGGCATGTATGCTCGCAGTTACATGAAGGACCGATTGGGGTCCAAGACGACGACTGCGACGACGGCGACAGAAACGACGACGGCGACGCCTTCCCCCCACTCCCCGGCCGGCAGGATCTCCACACGCAGTGGCACCAGCCGGATGAGTTGCGCGCGCTCGACGCGGCCGTGTTGTCCAGGGCCGCAGCAGTGAGCGATTTCTTCAATGGCAGTTGGGAGGAGGCCGAGCTGCAGCATTATTGCAGGGGGGTCGACTGTTGCAGTTCACGGGAGGTCAGCGTTCAGAAGGCGAAGTCTATCGTGTCTGCCTTGTTCGACGAATTCCTCGTCTCGTCGGGCATCGCTGCCAACCGGTGGAAATCGTTGTCGACGGCCACCACCAACTTCAGCATCTTGATGGGGCTTCACCGGATTCTCCCGCAGGCCCGGGGCTTTCAGAGGGCCTGGTGAATCGAGGGTTGGGGGCGGGGGGCTGGCTGCGTTTCTGGGGCCGCTCGCTTCCTGGCCCGCTAGGCCTTCGCGGCGAGCCTGGGCACGCCGCTCAACCTGGTGGAGGTCCGTCGCCAGCTGGTCGAGCAAGGAGTTGGAGACGATGACGCAGTGACCAGAGCAGACTCTTGGATTATTCGGATGGGGAAGCGGACGCTGAAGGCTAACGCATTCTTCCAGGAGGGCCTCTCGTCCGCGAAGACCCTCATCGCCAACTGCATGACGTTGCCCGCCGACCGCCTGTTTCACAGCATATTCGAGGCCGAATCCTTGGAGAACCCCTCCGAGGATAAGCGCATGTTCCTCGCGCATGGCATGGTTCGGCCCGGCGATGACGGCATCTGCACCGCGCTGCACGCGTCCCTCGGCAAGTCTCTGGCCATCGGCTCGGATGCCCGGGTGATCTGCTCGAGCATGCGGTGCGGCTGGTCCCACGCGCTCGCCACTGGAATTCGACTCAGCGCCGACTTTCATCATCGTTTCCTATTGGTGTTTCGAGATTTTCCATGGCGGGTAGTTCGACTCCTAGTCGAGTCGGGCGATGCCCGGCTAGATTTGGCGCGGTCCATCTTCGACCATCCATGCCGCCGGTGTTTCGACCTGTTCACGCGCAGGCCCTTGGGGGGAACGCCCGTTCCAATCTCCCATGCTGCTGCTGCCGTTGTTGCTGTTGTCGTTGTTGTTGTTGTCGTTGTAGTATGTGATATGATATGTGTTTGTTGGTTCGTTTGTTTGTTTGCTGTTGTTGTGGTTGTTGGTTGTTGGTAGTTGGCGCTTTGTTGTTGGTGAGTGCTTGTTGTTTGTTGTAGATGTTGTTGTTGTCGTTGTTGTTGTTGTTGATGTTGTTGTTGTTGACGTTGTGGTTGTTGTCGTTGTTGCTGCTGTTATTGTTGTCTTTGATGTTAGGCGGGGTGGGGCGGGGGGGCAGGGGGGGGGCGAGGCGGGGGGGCGGGGCCGCGGGGCAAGCGGGGCGGGCGGGGGAGGGGAGGGGCAGGGCCGAGGAGGACACGAGCTTTTCGCCGCTCCCCCCGAGGCTGCGCGACCAGGTGCAGTCGCCGGACGACCTCCTGCAGCCGTCGGTGATGGGGATGCTCGAGAGCATCGCGAAGGACCCGCTACTCATGAGCGTGCACCACGTCGAATTGATGCACGCCCACGCGAGGACTGCCGGCAAGAGGGGGGGGGCTGAGGAGGTCGGGATGCGAAGGGCCAGAAGAGATCGAGGAGGAGGCGGCGGGGGGCGGGGGAGGGGGTAGGAGGAAGAGGGGCACGGGGGCCGCTGGAGGACGGGAACTCGTCGCTCCGCTCGCCCCCCGCCCGTCGGCTACCGTAAGAGTGACCCTGGGTAAGAGCGACCTTTGGCGCTCGGTTTTTTGGGGGCCGCGGGTGGGGGCAACCGCGTGCGCGCAAGACGCCGCTGCCGCCTCGCGTTTCGCGATCGGGGGCCCCAGTGGCCCAGTGGGGTCCCCGATCGGCCCGCCGGGGCCCACTGGCCCATTGGCAATGGGTCCGCGCCAGAGGTCACTCCAGCAAAGGGTCACTCTCACGCGCAATCGAGCCCCCGGAGGAGCACGACGTGCCGGTCTCAGGGCCGGCGTCGTCACGCCAGGGCGGTCATCAGGGTGGCGACCTTGCGGCAGCGGGTCCGCGCGTGGATCGCATGGAGGAGCGAGCAGGGATCAAAGTTGAAGAGGGGGCGCGGCGCTCTGGTTGCCAAGGTCAGGAGAATCATCAAACCTCACATCCATAAGACACGCCGCAGACGCACGGGACAAACAATAAGTGCGTGGCAGATGTACGTCAAAGAACACCCAGCTGAGACAAAATTGAGCAAGACAGCCCACAAGACGTATATGAGGGAGCTCGGAGCGAGCTTCAGGGCCCTTGGCCAGCCTGAGACCGCCCGCTTGGAGCAGGCCGCCATTAAGCAAAAACATGACAACGCGATCGAGGCCAAGATGAGGCAACAAAGATTTGATGATATGGACTTAGAGGTGGATTGCGCGCTGCTCGATGAGCGCTCTGGCTGGTACCCGATCAGGCCCCTGGGCTACAACATTTAACTTGCACTTACACGTATAAAAGATATGACATGATATATATATATATATATATATATTAGTTATGTCTAAATATATATATATATATAAGTATCAGTATCAGTATAAGCCGATTAGCCGCGACCGACCTCCTCATTCAAACTAGGATAAGATAAGATGATGGGGTAGGGGACTGAAAGGGGCCCAGTTCCAGGGCGAGTTAATCCTGGAACTGGGGCCCTTTCAATGCTCGACCTCGACGCGGTGGCTTGAAACCTTGGGGGGCGGGGGCAGGGTTCTGAGCTCCGAGGTCGTCGCCGCTCGGGTGCGCCAGCTCCGCGTGGCCACTTGCCCCGGCGGCCCTCATCGACGCCGTCGCCGACCTGTCTGAGGGGGTGAAGGAGCGGTGCGGCGGCATCCGTCCTCATGTCCAGCGGCTCGTGGACCTCCTAGACGACGACGACGACTACTACAAATCCACGTCTGTCGTCGATGCCCACCATTTCGTCGACGCCCCAGCTTCGACACGAATGGTTTCAGGTCGATCGGCTTCGATCGCGGACCATCGCTCATCGTTTGCCGGTCGCGCCCTGTTAACTGTCGGATCGCCCGCTCGCCGGCCCGTCGCTTTCCCCCCCCGCCCCCGAGGCCCCGAAGGAGATGGGCAAGCACCGGCTGCCTCTGCGCACTTGCTGGCAACTGCACCCTGGCATGTGCGCGGCAGAGGCGGGGGCGGACTACGCTGCGGCCAAGAAGATGCACTGCGAGCTGTACGCCGCCATCAGCAGCCTCGCGGACGCCCGCGGGGGGGCGGGGGTCGGCTGGGGGAAAGGGGAACGGGAGCGAGAAACAGAGAGAGAGAGAGAGAGAGAGAGATAGAGAGAGAGAGAGAGAGAGAGAGAGAGAGAGAGAGAGAGAGAGAAGAGAGAAGAGAGAGAGAAAGAGAGAGAGAGAGAGAGAGAGAGAGAGAGAGAGAGAGAGAGAGAGAGAGAGAGAGAGAGAGCGAGAGAGAGGGAGAAAGAGAGAGAGAGAGAGAGAGAGAGAGAGAGAGAACGAGAACGAGAGAGTGAGAGGGAGAGAGTGAGAAACACAAAAACAAAATGAGAGAGAGAGGGAGTGAGAGAGAGCTTTCCTCTGCAGATCTCCTCCTCTATCGAAATCTCGCTATCCCTGCCCCTCCCCCTCTGCCCTCCCTCGTCCTGGCCTTCTCCCTCTTTCCCCCTCTCGCTTTATTTCTCTCTCTCTCTCTCTCTCTCTGTCTCTCTCGTTTTTTTTGTTTGTTCCTCTCTCTTTCTCTGTCTCTGTCTCTGTCTCTGTCTCTGTCTCTGTCTGTCTCTCTCTCTCTCTCTCTCTCTCTCTCTCTCTCTCTCTCTCTCTCCCTCTCGCTCGCCAGCTCTCTCGCTCTCTCTCGACCGCAGGACGGCCCGGTCAAGGCGGCCGCAGGGTGGGCCACGTACGTGCTGACTGGGAGCAACTGCGACATGACTGCATCTGCGCGGTTTGGTCTGTCTGGGCGACGCCGCCTGGTATTCATGTTGTCGAGGATGGACAGCCAGAGCCACCATGTCACGTTGACCGAGTTGGAGGAGGTGGGGGAGCGCGCCGAGTGTCTGCCGCTCACGCTGCGCTTGGCCACCTTGCCGACAGGGGCGCTCAAGGAGGTTCCCGGCCATAAGCTGGCGCTGCAGATGGTGCGCGAGGACAGGTACTGGACAGTTGCCCGCCTGGACACCGCCGATGCTGACCCGAACGAGGAGACTGTCTCCGCCGTGGGAATCTCGGAGGTGGTGAGCATCGGAGCGGGCAGGGTGGCGCCCCGCAGGCAGGAGGTCGCAGTCACCGAGATCGACGAGCTCTTCGAGGAGATGACATGCGCGCACGGTGACAGTGCCAAAGCTGAAGCCCAGCCGAAAGCCCCCAAGAAATCTTTCAAGGACGACGTGGACACCGACTTCTTGGACATGGTGGCGAAGCGCAAGTGCTGCGATGCCGGCAGCAGTGACGAGCTCAGCGAGGGTAGCGACAGCTCCGCGTCGGCCTGGAAGGAGGTCCTGGGCGACGGCGACGGCGACGACGACATTTTCGGCCACAAGTTCGACCTGGAGTTGGAGGCCCTGGATGAGCGTCGGAGGAAGAGGCGGGCACGTCGCGCCGAGCGCGCTGCTGGGGGGGGCGTCGGCAAGAAAGGCGCCGGCGCGGCTGGCGCCGCTGGGGCGCGCGCCTCGTCGTCATCGTCGTCTTCGAGCGCCGGCAGCGACCGCGGCAGGCCCGCCGTCAAGGAACGGCGCGGGCTGTATGGCGCTCCAGTTTCACTCCGCACTCCCCCCCCCCCAGCCCAGTGGAGCCCGTCTGGGCCCAGGGGCCCCCCTTCACTGTTGAAGCTCTGGCCCCCAACCCTCGCCAATATTTGAGGTCTCGGACGCTGGGTGCAGTTGTTTGGGGTGGGGCCCCGAGGACAAGGCGGCGCACGTGCCCATGCCGCTCCCGACCGAGCTGCATCCGCAGAAGTGCGGCCCGTTCAGCTTCTACGTGTGCAAGGAGTCCAAGTACGGCGGCTACGAGGCCAACTGCCCGTTCCACAAGAAGAACGACGTGAGCGGGTGCCGGAAGCGGATGGCGATCGAGGGCCCCGCAGAGGCCGACCGACAGGAGACGCTGCGCCGCTTGGTCTACTGGTGCACCAAGGCAGAGGAATTCTTGACGCTTCGCGCACCCCCGCCCGATGCGATTAACGAAACGCCGCGCCGCGTCCGCGACTTTATTTGGCCGTTTCGCTAGGGACATCCTCGAAGTTCTGAAAATCGGTAGCGCCCCTCACACAGATCGTGACGTCAGGGCTCAAAAACACATCGGGATTTCAACATTCCAACATCAAACCTTCGAAAACACTATGTAATTTCAATGCTTTTGACCCCGATTCTCCTGGTCGGGCCTCCTGAGGCCTACATGGACATCCTCGCAACCTCGATCCCAGACGACCCTTCCTCCGCCTGGGGCCCCCTGGACTATTTTCGGGTATCCTGACAGGGCCTCCTGCGGCTTCCTGGGGGCCCGTGGTGCACGCGTCGCCGCGTCGCAGGGTGTGGCAACCCCGCTTGCGCTCGCCGCGCCAGCTTCCCCTTCTCCATCTCCGACCCTTCCGTCATTGGTCAAATCATGAGTCATGGTGTCTTCCTGCTCCGAACGACCTTTCAGTTGTTTGTTTCTTTTTGTCCGTGGGCCTGGGCACACACGTGCCACTTGTAAATCTGGAGATGTTTTATATATGCACAAATATATACACCCATATATTAACGCATTTATTTGTACGTATATGTATACATATATGAGATATGAGTATGAACATTGTATTTATATATTAACCTAGAGGGTCAAGCAGAGGCCCAGGGAAGGCCTGAGGGGGCTCCGAGGGGGGCTTAGATAGAGGGCCCCAACCAAGCCGGGCTTCGTCGACCCACGGGGGCTCCGAGCGAAGCCCAATCTCCAAGATGCCCCAAGGCTCCAAGAGAGGCCCAACAGGCGGAGAGCGCCTCGCGCCTTAATGGGCCGGTGGATTCACTTTCCAAAGGGATCACCTGAAGAAAGCGCTGCGGGGCGTGGACTGGGAGGACCTCCCTCCCTCTCCTCGCCCCCACTCCCTCCCCGCCCCCCCCTCTCTTCCCCCCCCCCCCCCCGGGCGAAAGATCTCGCGGCGGAGCTGCGTGGAAAGACGTCCTGGGCAAAACCGATCTCGCTAGCGCCCCCCCGCCACTCGCACGTCGCTCGGACCGCGGCCAGGAGAGTTTGAGACCGATGGCACGGGGGGAAACTGCGCGGTCGGCGAGATCGGTTTTGCCCAGGAGTGTTTTTTCCACCCCCATCCCGGCCCATCCTTCCCTTTCTCCTCCTGCTGCAGGCCATCCCCGACATCGACGACATTATGCCGCTGCTGCCCTTGGACAAGCCCGCCGTCGTGCTCACCGACGAGGAGCGCGACGCCCTTGCAGCAGGTCCCCCGGGGCTCGGGACTTCTCTTCCCCCTAGGGCCCCCCGTCGTCGACTCCCTCGTCCCCTCTGCAAGGGTCTTGCATCTTTCGATCTGCCGCGGAGATGCCTTGGCCCCTCCCCCCGGCGCCGCCGCCGCCGCCGACGACGACGACGACGCCGCGGGCGTCGCGGCCCTCCTGGGCAACGATAGGAGGGGATAGGCATGGCGCATGGCCCATGGCGGCATAGGGCCTAAGGGCCTAGGGGGGACGCATCGACCCCCATCGCCATCGCCCATGGACCGCTATGGGGCCCAATATAGCCCCAGCCCGCGCAGGAAGGTGCGGATTCACCGTTGGGGGCATATCGCCGATCTATCATCTATCGGCAACGCGTCGCCGATTCTTGGTGGGTGCGTCCCCCTTTTATTATATTATTCCTTTATGTATACCTTATGCCTTCTGCCTTTTATACCAATGTTATTATATAAGTTATTATGTGACTCTCATCCCCCCTATCTTTGCCCCCTGTCATGAGTGGCTAGAGCTTTGGCCCGAGCTGCTCCGCTCGCCGTCGCGATGCTCCCGCAGCGCGTGGCCCTGCTGGTGTACGAGCTCTCGCGCAACTTCGAGCAGATCGCCAACACAGGCAGCGGTTCCAGCACCGAGGTCGACAGCAGCTCCACTTCCAGCGAGGACCAATCGTCCTCCCCCGCCTACTCCTCCTCCCCCTCCTCCTTCTCCTCTTCCTCCTCCTCCTCCTCCTCCTCCTCCTCCTAATTACTCCTCCTGCTCCTCCTCCGCCTCCTCCTCCTCCTCCTCCTCCTCCTCCTCCTCCCCCTCCTCCTCCTCCGCCTCCTACCCCCCCCCTCTCCCCGCTGGGGCCCGCCGCCCGGCTCTCCCCCCAGGGCCGGGGGCCTGGCATCGACGACGCGCGCCTGGCTCGCTTCCGCGCGCTCGTGGGCAGCGGGCGCACGCGGATGGACGAGGCCCTCGCCTAGAGGGCAACGCTCTTTTGGGGCCCTCCTGGGGGGCCCGAGGTATGCATGCATGCAGTGTGCATGCGTGCATGCATGTAACTGTATGTATGCGTGTACATTATAATATATATACACAATTAT